CAACAACTTCCAGAAGCCAAAGGACAATTTACATGAACTCTCAGGGTTTGTAAACAATAATAAATAACAAAAATAAAAGCTCATCTGAGCAATGATTTCACCTTCCAAACTCTGGGTGCTGCCCTTGTTCACTGGAATCTGATTGGAAGTCCCTTGGCCTTCGAGTTAAGTTCTGAGTTTCAAACGCACTTTCCAGCAGCTCTGCTCCCTGAGTTTGGACAGCCGCATTCTCCTGGTGAGTGATGGCATCCCTCCTCAAGCAGACATCATTCGTTGTCCCATTGGGCCCAAGAGACTCCTAACCCCTAGTTTGGCTGATGGCCCCATGCCCCTGCCACATCTTAGCATCATTTTCACAGTCTGGAGCACAGCTGTTGAAGATCTGACCTTCTGGAACCCAAGATATTTTGCGCCCTCATTTTAAGATTCATGGGATTTTTTTTGCCTTTTACTTTGAAGCCTCACATTTTGAGACTAAAGCAACTCTTCATCTTAAGGTCCCGCTAACAGTTCTCTTGCAAGAGTCTTGGAGCACACCGATGAGGCCCTTTAACCTGTTTCCTGGCTGCAGAATTTAAAGAAGCAGGCACCGGTCTCCCCCTTTGTCCTTACTTTGTGTCCTTCATTCTAAAATGATGGCTTTTCTGCAGTGATAGTTATTTAGATTTATCAGTCACAGGTTTAATGTCTCTTTTTTATTATTAATTGGGAATGAACACATATATCATATCATTCCATAGTTCAATTATATATAGCAGAATTGTCCATTTGCTAACACAATCAGTTTTCAAACATTCCCTTTCTACATGGACACCTGGACATCATCTCCCCTTCACCCTGCTACCTCATTGACAAAAGTTTACATAACTATATCCTTGAAAATCCTAAAACGTGTGTCATGTCTTTAGTTTGGATAACAGTTTTCAAATAATTAAGTTTTATATTCAATTTGCAAAAAATTAGGTTCATTACTTTGCTCTCACATTTCACAATAAACAACAAGGAGTTATCACACAACCCTTTTAAGATCTTGTTTAGAAATCTCTCAGTCAGATATCCACATTCATTACTTGTAAATCTGCCTTCCATCAAATGTTAGTACAAAATTCAGACCAAAAAAAAACCCAGCCAAAAAGAAGTGTTTGCCACTCCATAAAACATTACTCTTTCACATCACAATGTGATAAAATTAGAAATCAACAAGAAGACCAAATTAAAATAATAACAATGTACCTGTAATTGAACACCACCTTATTTAAAAGCCACTGGCTAACTGAACAAGTAAAGAATGCAATAAAAATTCCTCAAAACAAATGAGAAGTAAAGCACACAATACCCAGCTGTTGGGCATACGTAAAACAATTCACAGAGGGAAATTTATAGCAATAAGCACACATCAAAAAAGAAGAAAAAGCAAAAATAAATACTTTAATACAATACCTACAACAATTAGAACAAGGCTAGAAAAATAAACTCTCAGCCACCGGCAGAAAAGAAATAATAAAGACTAGAGATCATATCAACAAATCAGAAAAAAAAATTTTTTTAAGGAAAAAGAAATCCCTTTTCCCTCCCTACCACCCATCTCCCCACTCCAGCATTTCCTTTAGACTTGTATCCGTTATAATCAATATAGATTCACTCCTCCTGTATTACACTGCTGAGAAACCCAACAGAAGGAAATGAAAAACAAATTGCACTAAGGTGATAAGGATAAGATCATATTAGTATAAAGATAAAAATACAAATAATGTGTGAGAGGGAGAAGACGCCCATGAACATTCAAGAAGCCAGGGAAGACGTTTCTGCCATGGAACATCTAGGACAGCGGTTCGCAACCTGTGAGTTGCCACACCTTTGGGGATCGAGGACCCTTTCGCAAGGGTCGCCTGCTTTTATAACAGTTGCAAAATTACAGTTCTGAAGTAGCAACAAAATTAATTTTATGTTTGGGGGGTCACCACAACATGAGGCACTGTATCAAGGCGTCATGCCATTAGGAAGGTTGGGAACCACTGCTCTAGGAGATACGTGCACCCACAGCAAATTCAGGTGATGTCTATAGAGAGGTCAGCGGTCAAGTATCAAGTTTGATCCCGCATAATCAAGATGCAATGGTCTCTGCCTGATAGTAAGGTTGTTCTGAACTCTGCTGGGGGGGGGGGGGGTGTTCCTACACTCTCCTCCACAGCGTTCTACAGATTGTGCGTTCATAATTTTAACTCTGATTTTTCTCTTTCCCATATTCAAATTTTGTAATTGATTTTGGGAATAAATCATGAAAGTGAGAAGGGGGAGTGAGCACTAGGACTGATGGTGACTGCACAACTCATTTTAAAGGTGATTTAATCATGGGGCAATTGGGGGGACCGTGAGGTGGCAGAATGCTCTAAGATAGATGTGGTGCTGATTGTAAAATTCCCCTTGTCATGATTGAATGATTGAACTATTCAGTTGTATGATATGTAAATTATTTGCCAATAAAATTGTTGAGGGGAAAAAAGAAAATCAGACAAAAACCTCAACAATGACAACAAAATAACACAAAAATACTCAATCCAAGGGAAAGCACAATAAATGTAAACTAGAACAAATTTAAAATTGTGTTTCAACATGTTCTGTGCCTTTGTTTGTCTTCATATTGGGGTTTATTGCTGATATCTTTTGTTATTGTGGTAACCCTCTTGATTTTTTTTCTGTTTCTCAGAATGAAACCTAGGATTGAAGAACCTATCGAGATAAAAAGTAGAATTAAGTTTCCTGAAGGGGAAAAGTGAGGGTGATGGTGGGGATGGGGTCTAGGGAACTAATGTCAAGGAGTTCAAGATGGAAGAGAACGTTCTGAAACTGTGGTAGCAATGAACACTACTCCATGATGTTATTGAATTATGGGATTATAGATCTGTTAGCTCCCAAAAGAATGGTTTTGAAATTAAAAAAGAAAAGGAAAAAGACAGGACAAGAATTTAGTAGTTTTAAAGAATTAATAAAATTGTTAAAGAACTTGCAAATATAATAAAATAATGTATAGGGGAAAATAAAATATAAAGGATAACAAATGAATTGTTATCAAAACAGAACTAACAGAAAATATAATTACACAATAACATGAAAACCATATTTCAACAAATTTGAAAAATTAGAAGACATGAACAATTTATAAAAGTATATTACCAACCTAAATCAACACAGATTGATATAGAAAAACTTTAATAGACCTATAACACAAGAAGAAATAAACCTAGTTCAAACAATTTCCAACATTAAAAAGTCCAGGACCAAATAGTTTTAAGAGGAAATTATACCAAATATTTCAATACGAGTTAACACAAATTCTAATGAATTATTTCCAGAATATAGAAAAGAATAATGTACTACCAAATAGACTTTATGAAGAAAATGTAACCCCAATAACCAAATCAAATAGATGTAACCAGAATAAAAACTATAAACCAATATCCTTTATGAGCATAAATGCTAAAATTTTCTTTTTAAAAAAATCATTTTATTAGGGCTCATACAACTCTTATCATAATCCATACATACATCAATTGTGTAAAGCACATTTGTACATTCATTGCCTGCATCATTCTCAAATCATTTGCTCTCCACTTAAGCCCCTGGAATCAGCTCCTCATTTTTTTCCCTCCTTCCCCACTCCCCGCTCCCTCATGAGCCCTTGATAATTTATAAATTATTATTTTGTAATATCTTGCCCTGTCCCACGTCTCCCTTCACCCACTTTTCTGCTGTCCATCGCCCAGGGAGGAGGATACAAAACAACAACAACAAACCAATGACAAAAATGCAAAACAAAACACAAGAAAGAAAAGCTTGTAGTTAGTTCAAGGATTGTTTGTTGACCTTTAGGAGTGTTTTCCAGTCCAGTCTGTTGGGGCACCA